TGTATGTGTGGGCTTTTGGCACTTGTAATTCCCATCTTCAAACCAATAAACACGCAGCAGGAAAACGCTAAACGGCAATTGCTGCTGCTGCCAAACGGACAACAACTAACTGCAACAACAACAGCATTATCAACAACCGCAATAGTAGTAGCAGCAGCAGCAACAAACATTTTGTAGCTTACGTAATCAGCAGGCTGGCCAAAAGCAAAAAAAAAAAAGGCCAACAACAAAACTTTGGCTAAAATCGCTTGCTGCCAAATTGCATTGCCAACATTTGTTTTTAGTTTTGGCTGCTTTATGTTGTTGTTGTTGTTGCTGTTGAGCTTTTGCCTCATTTGGGCGTCGTGTGAAACTCTTTTTGGCCATGTGGCATGCAGCAAGTGGGTGTGGCGCAGCCTGCTCTGATCAGGTGGCATCTTTGACACCCTCGGGTGTTGCCAATTTGGCAGCTGTGTGCCTGCCGCCTAATTAGGCTAGGCAAATTTCTTGGCCAACCAACTGGCCTAAAGACCGCAAAGCAAGAGAGAAACAGAAACAAAGTTGAGCTGAAATTGAAGTCAGATTTTTGTACGAGTGAAAGTTGTGAAACGGACGGAATGCCAGAGGTGGCAGGGGATTGCTCGACAAATGCAACCGATCTCTGTTAGATGGGTAAATTAACATAATCTATAAATTGCTTATAGATAAATATCGATGATCATAAATTCATTAAATAGAGAGTTCACTGTGGCAACGACCTTGTCCGGCCACAGAGGTGAATGAAAAAGTGAAAAACTCCAATCTGAAGAGTTATTGGGCTGCATTTGGTGGATACAGTTAGAAAGAAAAGCAAAGCGAACAAATGTTAAGAAATTTGAATGCAGCGAGCGCGCTTGAAATTATCATTAACAGAATTTCGAACTCTAGAGACAAAGGCAAAGTGGAAGAAGAAGAAAACATGTCTATTTGAATTTGCATGCAAAGTTACTTAAGATAATTAACATAATAAATTGCCGCAAATGAATTTCGAATGGGAGCAGACGAAGCGTAAAATTAAATGTATAGAAGAGAGACAAAGAGACGACTGGAATGGAACAGCAGAGCTCTATGACCTAAGAATGCCAGACAGGGCGTCGTTCATACAATTGGCTAAGACAATGGCCAAAGCGTTTAGAGCTCGATTGTATCATTGCACAATCCAGCGATTATTCATGCTGCGAATTATAGGTATAACCGTGGCCAAATTGACTTAATAACTAGTTGCATTTACCTAAATTTTATGAAAAACACTGCTAGGTGATTCTTAGAATTTTGAGTGAGGCATGCCAATAATGGGTTTAAAAGAGTCAAGAGTTGTATTAACAATAATAGAATTTCAAGTGTCTGGGAGTTACGTAATGGAAGCGGAGATTTTGTTGGAATTGAAATTGAAAGTGGATTTATATTC